ACATCGAGTCTATGATTTGATCCAATTTAATGAATTTGTTATATATTTCATATCCCGAGTAAATATTCAACTCAATCGGGGAACTGTAATCAAGAATAATAATAAATTTTAATGAATTATGTAAATAAACTATATATCAAAAGAATTACTTAAAATTATTCAAATTAAACAATTTGTGTGCAATGATTGCCAGGCTATGAATATCCGCTTTTGGTGTGTATTTGGTTTGCAATTTAACTTCCGGTGCCATGTATTGACGAGTGCCCACTCCTGTGGTATGACTACTATAGGAACTTGAGTGCAGTGACGCCAAACCAAAGTCACATATCTTAATAAACCTCCCGTTCCTAAGCTGTGATGAAATTAATATATTGTCAGGTTTGAGGTCTCTATGAATGACCGGAGGATTCAATTCATGTAAATATTGAACGCATTCTAAGATTTCTTTGAATATATGACACGAAATGTAAAACTCGATTGAATTCATGGGTTCTTCCGGTTGTCGACCAAATACTTGTGGTTTGTTTTGAAGAATATTCTTCAGACTATCGGAGCACAACTCCATACGAATGTAATACACATTGTTTTCAACCCATTGACTGATATATTGGACACAATATTCTGACCTAACTTTTATCAAATTTTGCATTTCTCGCATACATTCCCGTAAATCGTGATCGCCTGTAAGTGTATTAATTTTAATAATTATAAATAATTCTAAATTTGACAAAACATGACAAAATTTGATGATCTACGAATACAGTATAATACAATTTAATGTGGTTATACAAAATATATCTAAATGCCATTAAATTACCTTGGTATTTTATTTTCTTAACCGCATATTCTCGTCCATAATATTTAGATTTAACAACAAATACTTTCCCAAAACCTCCCGAACCTAATAAATGCTTCTCTACATATAGACGCTTGTAATGATTCACTTCGGAAACAACTATAAAACAAATTAAATTCATTCATTCATTTTTCTTAAATAGTCATCCAAAAGTAGTACTCAAAGGGGACGGGGATGTGTTGTAGGCTTACTAAAGAGTAATTAAATTATAAGTATATTATTTATTTTTGCATAAATATAA